CACACACACACACACAAAGTAAAAATAATTAAATGTCAGTTTGATACAGCCTCGAAAACACTGCTCCTCTTCCTCTTGTTCCAGGCTCATCCCTCATCTGCTTTGGAGAACTTTGCTCCTCAGCCCAACAGCTTCACCAACTACGCTCCAGGCCCCGGAAACCCCTTCCCCATCCAACCAGGCCTGCACCCCCAGTTGGGTTGGCAGTGAAACCCCACATAACACTTTGAAACACATTGAAACACAGAGAACGCATATGCTGACACCTATCCTACCCTACCCCTCAGCAGTAGACACATTGCCTTGAACCCCGAGGAGCACAGGGCTGATTGGAGAGATTCAGTAATGTGTATGTTACAGCCAAGTAAGGAGGAACACTGTTGTGGGGGGAGGGGGTGGCGGATGACTTATATTATTCATAGTGAACAGTTGTAAATATCAGTTGTCAAAGTTGTTAGATTTTACAAGTAGACTGTGACTGGTTTTAATGTTAGCTGGACTTGGCTGTTTTTAATCAAGTTTATCAACATTTATTAGTGAATAATGAATTATAGAAAATAAAAAAAAATGTACATGATATCATGTAATGACTTGACAGTATCCTCATGTAGTATTTCACGTCCAGTCTCTGGAAAGGGCATGCTTATGATACTGATTGATTGTCCTGAACTGAATATTGTATTATGACATGAAATATTTTGAAGCAGGCACACCATGAATATTTTGAATCCTTGTGCTGCGTCAAGGGTGGGAGTGTTGTACACATAAACTTGCATACGGCAGTTCTGCTCCTGTTTGTGTTATTTTCAGTGAACGCACACTTGTGGCTGTCAGCAGTTTACATTTTGTATGTTTACAAAGTTCTTTTTGACAGATGTCACCCTGCTTGTACTGTTATTACAGTATTCAACCAAACGTTGCTGAGAACAACTTGAAGCATTCGTTGATTTGATATGTGGACTTGTAAAATGTCTGTTTTCTTCAGTAAGGCTTAGCAACATAGTGAAAACTGTAATTTTACTTCATTTACTGTACACCTCAGTACACTCAGAAAGAGTTACATTATTGTTTGAGAGCAATAGACTCGTTTGTTACACTGTGTTGTTTTCGTCTTTTTTGCCCTTTTTTTTTGTATTTGAACCTGTTTTATTATTTTGTCAGTAAACTGCTGGTTGCTGTAGCTCTATCTCTATTCTGTCTGATGCCATGGCTGGGAACATTGCATGGAAAAGAACTTTTACTCACTCACAATTAAAAATAGTTGAAGGGTGTAAAAAGGTGTAACAATCATCACCTGTTTCAAGGATTCAAGGTTATTTATTGTCATTTACAAGGCAGGGCTGTATTTTATGTGACTTGGGGAAAAAAAACAAAAAACATGTCAAGATTAAAAGTGGCCTAACAGTCTTCTCATTAACAAACTTTATTGTATCAGCAAAGGAAATGTTTAAAGTAAAGGTTCATGGTCAGAAAAAGAGGATAAATGAGGATAGGTAATTATTACAAATGACAGTCTCAAATGTTACCAGATAATCAAATCTGTACTGAAGGCTGTGGTCGCCATATTTTATTTTACCCAACGGTTTTACAGCCTATGCAGCTTTACACAATGCTTATCATGAGTAATGATAATGTTGCGCAATACACAGTCATGTGTCAATTAGTCAGGAGACTTCCAACACCCAGTTATGGTATCTCATATGAAGAAAGTTTTCCATTTTTCCTATCAAGTCATTCTTTGATAACTATTTTCTGCTAAACCAAACAAATTCATCCAATATGCTGAATGTTTTATTGATAATGCGTATGAACAAAGTGTAAGTAATAAGTAAAATCTTAAAATGCGGCAAATTTAATTTCAAGGCACATTTAATCATTGGTCACTTCTTTCCTAAAGCCAATTTTTATAATTTTGATAAGTAATGTTAAGAATGAGTTTAGTCTTCCAACTATCTAGCTATAAACTATGTCACATTCACACACACTCACATACTGATGGAACAGCATCAGGAGCAGTTTGGGGTATAATACATTTTGTATTATACCCCAGCACATGATGGCTTCTCTGAAAGCTATAAAAGAAAAGAGAAAAAAAGAAATGTTGAATTTCCATTATCTGTTCTTTCTTTTCTTTTGTTCCTTCTATGGTCTTTACATATGTTATGTAAAGTATTACATTTGACTCAGTTCTGCAGACGTCATAAAACATTGATAACCATGATAGGTTCCCTACACAAAGGGTATGAAAAAGTTAGAGTAAAATGAGCTCCTGTGAAGATACCCACAAATATAAGCATTTCAAATGTTCTAGTAGGAAGTGAAGAAGTTTATTATGCAACTTCCAAATTACCACCAGTAAATTTGTATTTAATGTTAAACTGGAATCCATTTATGCTAGTGTATGATTTATAAAAAAAATAATAAATGCAATTAAAATGATATTACTAGTGTTTTTGGGTTATGTGTTGATAAGAATGAAAGTACTATGTTTATGATCAACTCGCCACACCTACACCACCTCTGAGCTGCATTATATTGTAGCATTGCAGCTTTAAAAGGCTGGTTGACTCCCTCCTCATTAGACTCACTTCAACAAACTCTCAACACACTTCCCCTCTCAGTTGTAACCAGCCCATGGAAATGGAGAACCAAATGGAGAGCCAGAAGAGAAGAGGAATGAGCCAAGATGATTTAATATGTAAGATAAACTACATTTCCTTTACTGTCTTTTCTTCTGAGCTTTAATGTGTTTTTTTAAAAAGTAAAATATTAACAAGAAGTCTCTGATTATTGACCGTAACATCTGGCATGGCTTAAGGCTTAAATCAACAGTGTTGTTTAATCTTCCTTGAGTTCCATGTTGAATGTACACACACGTACACACACGGCATTACATTGTCAGTTGTGTAGGCAGGAGTGTGTTATGTATGCCATGTATACGACAGAGCTCACCTGTGCAGGTGGAAAGCAGCAAAAGAGGCCGGGGCAAAGTAGAACTCCATTGTCATGGAGACAGAAATCACATGTCACTGAGATAGAGTCCCAAAAGCATGTGACTGAATGTTTGTGTGTTACTCCCTTCATTTGTGTGTGTGTGTGTGTGTGTGTGTGTGTCAGTATTCATGCTCAGTGAAGTCAGGTGAACTAGGTAATGTTATGGGAACTGTCCTGTTATACAGTTGGATTTGTCTTGTGTGAATGCTCTTTAATTTGGTTGCTGATAACAGCTTGTTTTCATATCAGTGGAGCTATAGAATAATCGTTTTCCAGGTGGCCAACCTGTTGAACAGGACCTTACTGTGTACTCATCATTTACATGCATCCACAGTAAGTCAATAAAACATAACTTGGCGGCACAGATTATGAGGAATGAATAATTTTGTTTATTAAAATGCCTCAGTGAAGTTATTCCATGTAAACAAACCAAGTTTTGGTCCAAAACCTATTGAATAAAAAAAAAAAAAATTAGAGATATAATGAGGATTGGCACAGTGTGCGCTATGATTATATCATAAAAATCCTCATAAACTCTTACCAACATATAAATGACCTTTCCTAGAAACTGTCATAAATCATGAATTTCAAACATTGTGTAATGGGCAATAATGCTACTTTACAGTTATTTGAAACAGTAAACGTTCCTTTATTTCAACAACAGGAAACTGCATTTCCTGTGGTCTGACCTAGAAAGAGAGAACAATGTTTTTTTTAATGATACTAAGACAAAGGAAATTATAATCAAAGCAGGACAATGGCCAGGAAGTCAAGCCTTTTTGACAATTATAATATACTTATTGTTCTCTGACAGTGTAATACAGCATGGGGCTCAATGTAATGGCTATCTTGCAAAACATGCACAGATAAAGGCTGAAATACAACCATTAGAGCTGGAAAATATGACACGGCATGACACACAGACCCTTCTCTCACTTAATGACTTTCTTTTATTGCTGTAGTGATACTTCAGAGATCATGTTGCATGAGTAAATATTTTACTGTTTGCACTGCGTGTAAGAGAGTCTTTGTGTGTAAACGGTGAGTTTCTGTTAGAGCTAAGCTGCGAAACAGAGGTGCAATCTATTAAAAAGAATTATAAATGATGTTATGTTATGATTCAGAAATGAGCCCCACTGGGTCAGTTTTTTATCAATGCAAAACTCTTCACATCTCTAACTTTTCTTTAACAAGGAGGCTTTCCTCTCTACTTCATATGGGCTTTTTGGGGGGTTGCACAGTGGTCAAACACACTCTCTTATCTCTCTCCCTCTCTCTCTCTTTCTCTAGCTGAACGGACAGGGTCTTTGGGATGTATTGGTTGGGTTATAGTCATAATCTCTGGCCTCTTCACAACTCTCCTTTTCCCAATCACTATCTGGTTTTGTCTGAAGGTGAGTGAATAAATCAGCACAGAAACCGCTAGCCTATTTCCTTTGACGCACATTTGAGTGTGTACTGAGCTTGCACTGTGGTCTTCCTGCTTGTATTGCAGATTGTTCAGGAGTATGAGCGTGCCGTCATCTTCAGACTGGGCCGCATTACAGACAGGAAGGCGAAAGGACCAGGTAAACACACTAACAATTTCAATGTTCATGTTTTTTTTTTACTTAAAATAAATCCTGGATTGTGGTAAAATAAATAAATGAAATAAGATTTTTTTCTTTTTTGTTTCTCCACAGGAATTTTCTTCATTTTGCCATGCACTGATTCCTTTGTGAAAGTTGATCTGCGTACAGTTTCATTTGACATCCCACCCCAAGAGGTAGGACAACACAAAACTGTCTGGGGAAAAAATGCTCTTTTTGCAGCATTGTGCAAGGATTTCAATTTAAATCTATGGACATGCACACGCAAACTGTCATGTATTTCTATCCTAGATTCTGACCAAGGACTCAGTCACAGTTTCTGTGGATGGAGTGGTGTACTTCCGGGTCAGTGACCCCATTGCCTCTGTGGCCAACGTGTCTAATGCTGACTTCTCCACCCGTCTGCTGGCACAAACTACCCTCAGAAATGTCCTTGGAACTAAGAACCTGGCTGAGCTCTTGTCTGACCGTGAGGGCATCGCTCACAGCATGCAGGTACAGAATCTGAAGCCTATTTAAAGATATTTTTAAAAAACTTTAAAACTAGGGCACATTTCACACCAAAAAAAAGAGAAACTGGAGAATAAATTACAATATTGTGGAGAAATCAATGTAACCTCTTTCTGTCTTTTCCAGTCCAACCTGGATGAAGCCACAGACAACTGGGGCATCAAGGTGGAGCGTGTGGAGATTAAAGATGTGAAGCTGCCACATCAGCTGCAGAGAGCCATGGCTGCTGAAGCCGAGGCTTCACGAGAGGCCAGAGCCAAGGTCAGGACATGTAACACGACACATACAGTACATGCATACAATGTTAAATAACAATCCACTGTCAAGCCCAATGTGCATACACAAGCTTTCAGGCTAGTTATAGTGCACTATCCTAACCTCTCTCTAATATTATTTATAGGTGATTGCAGCTGAGGGCGAGATGAATGCATCTCGTGCACTGAAGGAGGCGTCTCTCGTGATCGCAGAGTCCCCGTCAGCTCTGCAGCTTCGCTACCTGCAGACCCTCAACACCATCGCAGCAGAGAAGAACTCCACCATCATCTTCCCCCTTCCCATGGATATCATATCTCACTTCATGCGGAAGTGATGCGTCAGTTTGCTCTTCATCTGAAGTCATTGTTAAATAAAACATGAGTCAGGTGGGTTCAGGATTCATTTCTGTGACTCTTTGTGAAATAATCTGCCAGGATGCAAGATAATGCTATATGGTCGACATTTTTTCAGACTGATCATAAAAACACCTTTATGGTTCATATAGTCAAGCTGTGATCATCCTAGTCCTGCTAACCAATGTGACTTAGATTAAATTCAGTAGTCTGCATAGTTTACATGTCTTTGACAAAGATTAATAAATAGAATAGTGTCTCATTCATGATATCACATGATGTAATGTTGCATACTTTACATTAAATGTTAAATGTTTAAAACTAAGCTTCTGTTGCCTCATGTCTCAACTCTTAAATCCCTTATATGAAGTTGTGGATGGTAGTAGTTTATGGGGTTTTTTAAATGTTTTTTATTGAACAGTTCTCTTAAAAACTCTGAGGGACTCAGGTCATATTTTTGAAATAAGCAGCCTTTGTGGCAAAAAGAAATTAAATATTTTCCGTCTACATGTACTAAGATTTATTAAGGTTGTAAAAAAAACGAATTTATGAATATAACCAACATTTATCAATTTTCAGTGTATATAAATAGAACTGTATGTGTTAGGTCAGCTTTTTTGTTGAATTTTGAAACCCAAAGTGTTGTTGCTGGATATGGATAGAGAGCAATACGACGGATGTAATCGGGATATCTGATGTCAAAAAGGCCAATAAAAGCAATTTCAAAATTTGGTAGTTCTGTCCATGTATACTCTGATGCTTTTTAAATAGTTTATTTAGCTCAAGAAGTAATACAATGCAATATTTGCCTCTGTGGATTTAAAGTATAAAGTTGCATGAAATGAAAAATACTCAAGTAAAGTACAAGTACCTTGAATTTGTACTTAAGTACAGGAGTAGAGTAAATGGTACATTCTACCTCTGAGCAGGACTTATCTTTAAATGAAACATGGACATCACATGACTTTTCTAGAATATTTTTTAATACTGTGTTCTCCCCAAAAAGTACAAATAAAAGCATCAACATACCTTGTATACATTACATGTTGAACTATCTCATTCTCCATCCTCTAGGCCTCCTACGCTACAGTTACATTTTGACCATCACAGATGCGGAGAGGGAAAAGAAGAAAAAGGGAGAGCAAGAAACAGCAAAGACAGAAAAAACATGCGTCTAATACTTTTCTGGTGCACTAAGACACAACTCATGTTGTAAATGTATTTACATTCAGACATACAATCAGTGCCAGAACAAACAAATTCAGTAAACTTTGTCTCTGGACCAAATCCATAAGGGGTAATTGTATAGCTTACCTCCACAAATTCAAATTCTAGAGCTCAAAGTTGACTAGCCATGGAAACATTTGCTACAACAGCATTTAAACATCAACATGGACGTTTCAATCCCTAATGAATTAGATAAATTACCCATGTTTGTTGTGGGGAGGCTCAACCAAGTGCTACATATTAAATGGCTGCTACATAATGGTCAGACAAGAGGTCCTTCTATATTAAACAAAATCACATTGAATGACTTGTATAAAATGCAGTCATTACATTTTTGACATTCAGCGCATAGTGAGACACAGATGTCCACAGGACACATTGAAGGGTCATTACAATACCAGTTCATTGTTTAGAAATCATAGTCCATTCAAAGGTGAAATATTAATTTATGATGAAGTCGGTAACTTTACGTCGTTTGTAAACAATAGATTTTGTTGCATCTTTGTAGACTGTATTTTTTGCACCTGAAGTGACCTTTAGGAGGACCCTGAAGAATCATTCAATGACGTAGGTGAACTGTAATCCTAAACATTTGAAAACACAGTGACTTTTTGACTGGTAAATTCTTACAATTGATCGTTATGCAAAGACATTCTCAAAATCGTCAGTGTATGTATAAAATAAGCGGGAATTGAGATACATTTCTCAAATCCGATGCTGTACTTGACATTCTTTTGTTTAAGAGCATTTAACCATGTGGTACGTATCATACAAAAAATCTTGAAGATCTGTGAAGAATCGTTTTTTTTTTCACGACCATCAAAAGTGCTGGTATCGCAATTAAAGATCTACTTAAAAGTCTATTACTGAAAAACTGGCAACCCAGAAACGTCGTCCTTTACATGCTGGTAAAAGGTTACATTTACTCAACCTGTAAATTAATGGAAGGAACGACCAGGGGCGCTGCAAGGAATTTCAAGGCCTCGATACTGCCCCCCCACGACCCCACCCCATGCATCTACTTAACAATATTACATTTGTCTCACACGCTAACCCCTGCTCTCATTAGCAATGTTGCCGCCAACACAGACTTACCCTTGTCCCTCCTCACTGGCCTCGCTTATTTACAGTGGCACATTTTCATGTGGAGTCCGAACTGCTTTAGCTTTGTTTGTTAATGTACGAGTACATCACTGAGATTACATGATGATACTGTAGCTTTCTATGTCGTCTTGTTCAAAGCCAGATTAGGACCCTGAGGGTAAGTAAGTCAGTAGAGTACAGCACAGGAGGCAGCTATGATGTAGTGTATGCTATAAAATAAATTTCATTTCTATATACCAAAGGTTGGTTTCTCTATCGTATTCTATATAAGTGGAAAATTATCTCGGGAAACATCTTGAGAGTGTATAATGTTCTGTAGAGAAGCTATACAAAATTATAACTGAAAGTATTTTAAATCTAAATTTAGAAAATAATTCCCTGAACAATATATTCTTGCACACTAAGAGTTCAGTGTTGTTTGCAAAAGTCTGAACATAATACTCGAAGGATAAAAAGTGTCATTCAGATAAACAAACCAGAAGCATCTGAAGAGGTTATGAAGAGGTTAACACAGGTTCAGACAGGGTTACGCTAATCTTTGTGACACTATTCACAAAGCAGTAAACAGAGGGTTAACCTGTATTTTTTTTTACCTACATAGCTTATAGATCCATATCATATCATAAGACAGTCCCCTGAACACCACCTATGTGTGTGTGTGATGACAACAAGTCAGAGAAATATGCACTATATCTCATTTCTCCTACATCACATATTCCACTTGTGTCCCATAGGTGATATTAAAAGTTACAAACACTCATTTCTATCACTCCTCAAGCTTAATAAATAGACAGATCACAGCAATAATAAGTTTCACATTAAGACTGGAAGACTTTCACAGTACATGCTTGCTTAAGTAGCAAAATACATGTAACAAATAAATTAGATATCACGTTTTAAAGGAATCCACAACATTTAAAACAGAGATTTATGTGTCGGGTCTCCCCCTTAGCTCTGAGCTCCCTGGTAGCTGTGAGTTTTTGTTGATGTTGTTGTTGTTTTTGTTGTTGTCATTGCTGTTGAGCTACAAACACAACAGACTGCACATTCCCGCTGAGGTAAATACAAAATGGCAGACGTAGTTTTTGCAAGTTGACCTGAGGGATCCCAAAAGTGAAGAGTAGCTTGTGTGGCGAGACGCTGTAGGAAGACCTGGCAAGGTTTGAACGTGTAAGTTCTCTGTATTTTGGTAAAATGGCTGGGGTTTCCAGGTAGGGTTGTCCCACACAAGTAAAATTATCACCAGTGAACTAATTACAAAATGTTAAATACACCTCAAGGAGGCTGAAAAACAGGATTTGCTTTGCTTTACAAACCAATTCTTTATCCAAAGTCCTTTATGAAAGAAAATGTTGCTTGTTCCCTGCTGGTGAGACGGCAGGACTGAGTATAAGGCGCTTTGTTAGGGATTTTTCCAGATGAAAAACGAAAACAGAAAAACATTTCTGCTGAAAGCTGATTCAATCCATGACTAAGAATCAAAACTCATCTTTTAAAAAGAATTTGACTATGAGAAACTAATCTCGATGAGAGAGAATATAGCTTATTGTATCAAGGATGTGACTGTGTTTTAACACACCAGAGTATTCTGTTCTGGTGACAAGAGTGTGCTACTTTTAATCTGTACTGATTCCATTTGTGCGGGACTCCTGACTACCCATGCAGGGAGGTTTCACTACATGTCGACACTATCTGTGTCACTATCATACAGTATATACAGTCTACATTTCAAGACTTTCGCATTAATTCAAGTTCGGTTTGGGGACAGAGATCTGAGCTGCAGTCATCTGCATCAGTTGTGTTTCACATGACATACACCAGCTGTAGAGACTTGAGAAAGTTCAAGACTCTTTTTTTCTGTCCACTTTGTCCTGTGATGACTGGAGACAACTGCCCTCTGTATTTCAATGCAATTCACATTCAAAAAGCAAAGGAGGAGAGCAGAGAATGAAGGAAATGAAAGCGAATGTTCAGAAAAGAGGAGAGAGAGATATGTGAGTTTATCTCTGCAAAGAGCTGAGGCAAGCGGCTGAATTACAGCGATTGGCTGACACTCTGTGTGTGGGCGTGGCTGGGCCGGGGGAGTAATTCTGATTGCTTGCTGCCCTGTGAGTGGGTGTGGCTGGTCCAGGGGAGATATTCTGATTGGCAGCTCTGTGGGAGGGGGAGCAGTACTGAGCCTGCTGGGGGCAGCCATAGCAGTGAGTGGGGGAGTCACACCCTGCTACAGGTGAGGAGGAGAAGAATGGGGATGAGGGGGCAGGGGAGGTGGAGAAGGAGCGGTGCAGTGGGGAGGAGGCTGGGGACATGAGGGGGCTGGTCTGGAGACGCCACAGAAGCTCCTCGTTGTTCCGACTCAGCCGCTTCTTCTCGGTGCTCTCCTTTTCGACTGACTCGTGGAGATTGGCGTTCTCCTCTGACAGTTGCCTGCAGGGAAAAAACAAGCACAGAGGAAGCTAACCTTAGCATGAAGCAGGAAAGACATAGCATCACATACTGTATCAGTGTCCACAGTGAGGAAAAAGATGGTGATGATGGTGACTGAATATGTCTTACCTGGACAGGGTGAGGTTCATTTGAATACGAGCCTTCAGATCTTCATTCTGCTGCTGCAGCACCTGGACCTTCTCCTCAAGGAACACATTCTTTTGAGCCTGCTCAAAAGTAGAATGCAACCACAGCGCAATATTTCATTCACCGTACATGACCATCATGTGTATCCAGACCACTGCGTGTGTGTGTGTGTGCTTGTGTAGTGGTGCTTGAGCTGAGGTGATTAGCTTATTTGAGCCTACCACTTTCTCTAGATCAGAGATCTTCTTCTCTTGCTGATGTATCTGCTGGTTCTTCATTTCCACAACCTCCTTCAAGCTCTTCAGATCTTGCTCAATGTGCTGGTATGGAGCCAAAGCATCCTGTTACACGTGCGCACATTCACAAGCAAAAAGACAAGAACAAGCGAAAAGACAGATAGAGAGCAATGATGATGGGGTTTAGAAAGATTTGATTCTGCATTATTACATTTGGGTATCTACAGTATTTTCAGTGACTCATTGTTATTATTTGCTGGAGAGTATCAGTAGGCAAACTCACAACTATCTGTTCATCTGTACTCCTCCTCAAAGCCTCCTCAAAGCGTTTGGCTTTGTCCCTCAGACTCTGGTTTTGAAATGTGAGAGTATCCACTTGATCCTGCACAAGCATCCAAACACATTAACGTACATCGCATCAGTAAATGTTACTGTGCATCAACAAAAAAAGTATCTTTTTTAAATGGAATCATACCTGTAGAGAAAGCCTGAGTTTCTCAAAATCCTCCTCCAGAAGGATCTTCTGTTGCTCATGAGCTTTCCTTAAGTCTACACACAGATTCAGAAGCACAAAAGAGAGATGATGTTGTTTCAAGCAGTGGTGGTGTCATATTGTGTTTTTTAAATGAGGTCTAAAATCATACCTCTCATGGTACGGGCGTGCTCCTCATGCAGTGTTGCCATGGTGATGTTATGCATGTCTCTGAGCTCCTGAATGGCTGCCTGGTGGCTGACTGTCATCTCCTCCACCTAACACACCCACCCACACACACACACACTGATCAGATTTCATGTGAACAATCATCGTGGCTAACATAAAACAGATGCCTGACTCTCACCTGTTCCTGTTGCTGAGTCCTCAGCTCCTCCATCTCTGACAGATGCTCCGCCTTCAGGTGCTCTGCCTCCGCTGAGTGACACTTCCTAAGCCCCTCCTCCACAGCAGCCAGCTCTGCCTCCTGCTGCAGCTGCAGCTCCTGTAGCTCACGTTCAAACGCCACCTCCAGCGCCGTCTTTTCCCGGTGGAGTCTTTCCCATCGCGCTGAGTTGGATGCTGTGGATGAAGTAGAGTTGTTATCTTATTAGAGAGTGCAGAATATTCAAAGTTTTACTGTGAATTTATGACTATAGAAAAGGGTAAATTCACTATAATATATAATTATTGTAAACAA